ACGCGCTGCCCGCATCCTCCCGCAGAAAGCTCGTCGCGCTGTCCACTGACCTCGCCGACGCCAAGCTCGGACTTACCGAGGACTTGTACCGCCAGGTCAAGCAGGATCTCCGCCTCGTCATCCACGCCGCCTGGTCCGTCAACTTCAACATGCGCCTCTCGAGTTTCGCAAAGGGTAACATCGCCGGCGTTAACCACCTCATCGCCCTCTGTAAGTCCGCCGGCGACGTCGAGACCGGAGCTTCGTCCCCCGCCGCGTTCAACTTCTGCTCTTCCGTCAGCACTGTCGCGCGCGCCACGACGATTCCCGTCCCCGAGTCCGTCCCCGATCTCGAGTGGGCCCAGGGTATGGGATACGCCCAGTCCAAGGTCGTCGCCGAGCACCTCTGCGCCAAGGCGACCAAGGCCGGAATCAAGTCCCGTGTCCTGCGCATCGGCCAGATCGTTGCAGACACCCAACACGGCGTCTGGAACGCAACGGAAGCCATCCCCCTCATGCTCCAGACAGCCATCACCGTCGGCGCCCTTCCCAAGCTCCAAGAGACACCCTCATGGTTGCCCGTGGACACCGTCGCGCAGGGCGTCATCGACATCTCCCTCTCCGACGCAGACGGCGTCTTCACCAACGTCGCGAACCCCAAGATGTTCAGCTGGACCGACGATCTTCTCCCCGCACTCAAGGCCGCTGGTCTCGAGTTCGAAGAGGTCGAGCCCAAGGAGTGGATCCGTCGCCTGCGCGCCTCGAACCCGGATCCCGCCGCCAACCCGCCCATCAAGCTCGTCGACTTCTTCGCGTCAAAGTACGACAAGGACGAGTTCGCGCCGTCCAAGACGTATGTCACCGATAACGCCTGCTCCCTCTCACCCGCGCTCGCTCAGGCGCCAGTGTTGGATCAGAAGTTGGTCGACAACTTTGTCAGGTACTTCAAGGCCAACCACTGGGCCAAGAAGAACCAGGGTTCAGCCAAGACGGTCATAATGGTTGCGGGCCCTTGTGGCAGCGGAAAGTCTACCCTGGCTACCTCTCTGGCCTCCTCGCTCAAGGCACCCTTCATCGAGGGCGACTCCCTGCACTCCAAGGCGTCTATCGAGAAGATGGGCGGCAACGTCGCCTTGACCGACGAGGATCGGTCTCTATGGCTTGGCCGCATCGGTAAGAGAGCGTCTGAAGCCCTCAGTGATCTGGGCTATGACTCTGTCGTCGTCAGCTGCTCAGCTCTGAGGAAGTCGTATCGCGATACCCTTCGAAGTATCTTTGCAGAGCAGGAGGGCGTCAAGGTTGTCTTTCTCGACCTCCAGGCCAGCCCTGAGACGCTGGTTAAGAGGATGAATGAGCGCAAAGGCCATTACATGCTGGCGAGCATGGTCGAGGGACAGGTTGAGGTATATGAGGCCGCCGGTGTCGCGGAGTTGGATGTCCTCCCCGTCGAGGCTGAGGGCACATCGGAAGAGGTGTTTGAAGAGGCCAAGTGGTTACTTGAACAGATTGGACTGAACTGAATTGTTGCTAGATAAAGCATTTTAAGGGCATATTATTGGCGTTGAGGATAATGGGTGCTAGGGTACATGTAGTCATGAGAATTTCTTTATGCATTTGAATAACAAATTTGGTATAATCTCAGATTTCCTCCTGTCGCATCTAGTTGCCCTTCCCTTGTCTTTGATCGTGACGTTCAATCAGTCAGTCGTAAGCGCATCATCTAATTTTTTGCTACAGCATAATCGCCATCCTCCTCGATCCCGGTGCATGACCACTCTCGAGTTGTCGTTCCTGTCTTCTGAACCGTTGACGGTGTATGTGAAATACGCTGATGCGCCGATACACGAATGGATCTTTTCATTCAGTCTCCCATGCGGCGTGTTCCAAAGTAATTGCCCCTTGCCAATGGAGGGGCAATCTGAGCAGCCCATCCCCGTGGGACAGATCCAATGTCGGAGCTGTGTACAGTGGTGACAGAGGTACAGCCCTTGACTGCTTACGTCCTTGAGAATGAGGAAGAGGAAGTTGTTGAGTTTCTTGTCGCTTGTCCTTAGTTTTGGAAGGGTACCTTGGGATAGGAGACCATAAAGAGATTTGCAGGTGAGTGCCAGGCACATTGCGGACTCCGTGGGGAGGTGCGAGGCTATTTCGAGCATGATGTCGGGTATTTGCCGAAGCAGAATCGGTAGATCGGCCAAGCAGAGTTTCCGCGTCCCTGAGGGCGTTTCTATTGGCGTGATGTCTGACATTGTGACAACACCTGCGCGTGCTTGTGGAAAGTTCACGGTGAGCAGTAAACACCCTTGCTTGTGACGGAATACGAGGTCGTGGGGATGGCCGTTATGAGCCTTCAGGCACGGCCGTTGAAGGAGTCGACTTCTGGAACGATTGGGTCTGTGGCTCTTTGTCGATGATGGCGTGTCATGACCAAATGCTTTGACTCGAACAGCGGCTAGGACTAGGCCAGAACGCACTTAGAGGGTCAAAGTTTTGCGGCTACCATCTCTTCGGGACAAGACACAAAGGCCATCGGAAATGAACAGTCTAGTCGCAATCTCGACTGGAGATTTTTGTAAGACGCGTTCTGAAGGCTCAAGTCGCGCTGCTTTCTAGACACGTGAGACGTGTCTGTCCTCCTATCACCACCATGATATTCTAGTTTCGAGGGCCTCCCTTTCTTCGATTTTCCTCTTCTTGTACCAATCTCCTATCACAGTAATCATTGTTTTCTCTCACATAGATCGCTCTTTGTCTTCTGAACATCTTGTAGTCATTTTGAGTTCACAACATTTGACAGTGGATTGCTGCATCCGCGATTGAGATTTGTGTCCAGGTGCAATCGCCTGATCATCTCCACCTCAAATATAAATGGAAATCTTCGTCAACTATCCTTAGAAGCCTGAATTCCTCTGATGGAACCGCAGACTGTTCTAAGGAGAAGGGTGCGCAGTCAACGATGGATCCGAAATCCCGGATATTATAAAATGAGAGATCATAAGCATACAACACGAACCCAGTGGAGGAAGCATCGCTAATCTTCATTTCAACTGAAGAAGATTTGGGGGTTTTCTGGCGCAATAATCAATCTGATTTCAAAGGGTAGTGTTCACCGCAATATATTTGATGCTTACAAGTGAAGGTGTGCAGAAAAAGTGGCAACGGAAACAAAATAGCTCCGACTCTTCCACAGTAATAATACATCCGAGCTGGCTTAACGACAGTCGATATTTGGCCAAGACTCGGAAGTAGATTGAAAGACTGAATTTTCTGCAGACGTAATTTAATGTCCTATAAATCAGGAGCGCCCGATCTCCAAGATTGGAGCTTTTCATGCAGCGAAGGAAAGTTCACCAAGGTCTTTCGCTCTCATACAATCACCAGACGTATCGACACCATCATGTTCAGCAAGATCATCACCGCCGTCACTCTATCAGGAGTGTTTGGGAAAGCTGCTGCGTCATGCACTTGCGACCTCAAAGTCGAAAGCTACATCAGCCCAGGGTTCTCATTGGATGTTGTGTCGTCTCTGATCATCGGCTCTCAAGCCGCTGTGATGATCGACTTGCCTCTTGCAGTTGCCGATGCAGAAATCCTAGCTCAATGGGTTAAGAATACAACTGACAAGCCTCTCCTGGCGGCTTTCACGACGCATAATCATCCAGATCACTATCTGAGCGGCAAAGCGTTCCTTCAACACTTCCCCGAGGCCAAGCACTACGCCACGCCGGAGACGGTGCATGGAATCCAGAACGAGGCTATTAACAAAGTGAGCATTCATGCTGACATTTTGGAAAGCAATGGCTAATAACAGGGTAATGTAGACTGAATTCTGGTCTGCCGCTTACGGCCCCGGTGTCATCGCTCCCGTCCCTGCGATTCCGACTGCCTACAACTTCTCCTTCTTCACCCTCCCAGGCGACGAAAAGTGCCCGATCGAAATACTCAAAAATATTGGCGGCGATACGATTGATCTATCTTCATTCTGGATCCCGTCCATCAAGACACTGATCGCAGGTGACGTCGTCTACGGCCACCAGATGCATGCCTGGCTCGCCGACCTCCTTACGCCCGCCCTCACAGAGTCATGGCTCACGACTCTCGACTTCATCACGGGCCTCAGACCTAGTCTTGTCATACCTGGACATGCGCTATCGTCTGATACCTTCAGTGCAGTCGCCGATGTCGATCATACAAGAGACTACGTTTCTTTTTTCCAGAAGAACATCGAGGCCAAGGGTGCCGACTTTTACACTCCGCAAGAAATTTCGACCATGATAGAGGCTGCTTTTCCTGGTTTGACGAATTTGACGTCATCAACTACTTCAGCTACCTTACTCAACATTACGTCGGAGAACTTCGGCCGGGCAGGACAAAGACAGGTGCACTACTTCGACTTGACTGTGTATAACGACACGGATGTCTTGGATGGATGGCGCTTGTGATAGTGCCCTAGCACTTGATGATGATATCATATCTCCTAGCTCTCATCATTTCTATGAGTGGACGAGTTTGGGGGGGGGGGGGTCAAGAGGAGATACCTTAGGCCATGATTGTGCAATTACTACTTCATGCCCATCACGCGGCGGATAGAGAAGTGCGCATATCTGATGGTTTTCGAGAAATCTCAGCTTTGTCGTAGCGCACATAGTATCATGAAAAAACATGAAGAGTACATATTCACTGATCGCTCGAGAATATGAGCCTATTCACTTTTGCAGTAATCTTATTTATTTAGAAACATATGAGGAACAGATAATTAAGGTATTGACGAAGATAGGAAGGTAATAGTTTAAGCTTGTGAGGTGATTTCGAAAATTTTCCTGTCGATTGACCCAAAGTCGAGAAGACGGCACCTTTAAGGCTCCAAGCAGCCATCTGGGTAGCGTCAATGAAAGACGCGAAGATGTGTGATCGGTATTTTCAACCACATATTCATGTTAAAGTTCAGCTCCACATATCAAAGCGGTCATTTATGTCTGCTGAGACCTCCAGGTTCTCTAATGAATCACTTTGTCTTGATCCCGCTTGCTTTAGGCCCTTCATCTACAATGATTCATGTCCTGACAGCCTTCGGACTCAACTTTACATATCTGCATTCATCCCTCAACCCCCTTGAACCATCAAAATGCGCTTCCATCAAATCCAAGCTTTCACCATTGCTTCTTTGGCCGCTTCAGTATGCCAAGACGATATAGCTCCTTCATGATTTGCTACTAACATCACAGTAGGCTTATGCATCAGCGATTACTGACAAGTCTCCCATTGAAGGTTATGAGGTTGTCATCCCAGAGTGGGAGTTTCAAGATGACATCAGCCTGGGGGCCGAGAAAGTCCTTCTGAATGGGACGATCGAAGAGGTCTTGGCGGATCTTCGCTCTTACAAGTCTCTGTATGCGCAGGTTTTGGGCCCGGAATTGGGCTCTACTACCACATCTTCAGCCTTAGAGGAACCGAACAAGTTCGATAACTCTCATGTCGTGTGTCATAAGTTCCCCTTAGCCTCAGTCGCCGTTGCAAAAGATGGCATCAACGAACTCAAACGCATCCGGCACAAGAGGGCGAGACTCGAGGTTGGCCGGGGAAAGTGCGCTCTTATGAGTTGCCTTTTCAAGACTGCCATCTGGTGGTGCAATGACGTGAGTCTAATTTTCAAGACATTGTGCGTACAAGCTAAGCCGAAGTTTTACAGGACGACAAGCCAAAGAGTATGAGAACCTTTGACGGCATTGCTCAAGGTGCTGAGAAAGTTTTGAAATCATGTGCGAAGAGGGAGTCGCGTAATGTATTACGATCCTCAGGACAGGCATTTGACAAGATGAAATGGAGCGTTATCGTGCGCGGTGAAAATTGTTGATAATGAGAAAGGACAACTTTGGATTTCAAGTGGACTTGCCAGAAATCAGGTCAACGGATGCAGCTTGCAGCTGCCAGTGTGTTTGACAAGAACATGAACTTCTCTCCAGCCTACCCATATTTCCTGTATTGGGCGCTCGTTGCCATGGTCAGCACGGTTGCGAAATTGATTTGTGTATTACTCCATAAAGTATTCTAGAAGCCGATGAGAGATCTCATTTGATGTTTAGGGTCGGATGCAAATTGCTTCCGGCAGCTCACCAAAGCAAGATAAAATCGGAACCAAAATGGATAGTCTCACAAACGAGTTTGTGCCATGTTTGAAATCGAACTCGCCATTCGAACTAAAATAAATTGTACAAGAGCGTAGTGCTTCCTTGTCTGGGCGAGGTTGAAGCGGCATCAAAAAGGTGCTCCAAGGAAGAATTCTCACAGCAACACCAAAGCATGGACAATATACAGCAAATCCTCGTTCATCTACTGGACGAAGCCGATTCGGGCGCTGACTCAGATCATGGCGACTGCGATCACGGCCATCATCACCACCACCTCCGTCATATCAAGGACCAACTCGACGACTTGGAGCCCCCTACACATCTACAATTGCTTCACCAACTACTCTGTGTCCGCACACCGGACCCACCGCTTCCGGAAGACATTTTGATCGGGATAGACTCAGTCCTACAACAACAGGCATCCCATCGTGTCCTGACATTAGCGGGTTCTATTCAGCCGACATTAACACTCAAAAGACCGAATCATAAGAGCGTCAGAGTTACGCTCTGGCAAGGTGACATCACGACTCTCACAGGCATCACTGCAATCACCAATGCCGCGAACAGCCAGGGACTTGGATGCTTCCAACCACCACACCGCTGCATAGACAATATCATTCACTCTGCTGCTGGCCCCCGGCTGCGGGACGAGTGCTACCGGGTCATGATAAAAAGAGGCCGCGAACTCGGACCGGGCGAGGCGATTGTTACAGACGCGTATTGCCTACCAGCAAACCATGTGGTGCATACAGTCGGGCCGCAACTGCAACGCGGCTCAAAACCAACGACAAACGAGACTCTCCAACTCGCCCAATGCTATCGCAGCGTTCTTGACGCAGTTGAACCGCTGCCCGCGACGCCGGATGGCAGGAAGATTGTCGCGTTATGCGGCATCTCGACCGGCTTGTTCGCCTATCCGGCGCGAGATGCAGCAGCCGTCGCGGTCAGCGCGGTCGCAGATTGGCTCGAGCACCACGAGGATACGTCCATCACCGATATCATCTTCAACACCTTCACGAACGCAGATCATGCCGTTTACCAGGAGATCCTGGCCTCTCCCCCGCATATTTCTACATGGATGGGTCAGGCAGCGCCGACTTTCACTCCGCCGGCAAGTGCGAATCATCCGCCGCTGATCCAGTGCGACTCGCTGGACCGGGCCAGGCAGTGGCTGGACGCGGCTGACGCAGTGATTGTGAGCGCCGGTGCCGGTCTCTCTGCTTCCGACGGGCTGGATTACACTTCGTCGGCCCTGTTTGCCAAGAACTTTCCCGGTTTCTTGAAGTATGGGCTGCGAACTCTGTATAGCGTCTTTGGCTTCAACTCTTGGCCAACGGAGCAAGTTCGGTGGGGATACTACTTCACCCACTTGGCGATGGTCAAGTCTTGGCCAGCATCCAGAATGTACCGAACGCTCATTTCATGGCTTGAGAGATTTGGAGAAAACGCGCATGTAAGGACATCCAACGCCGATGGCCTCTTTGTCGCCAATGGGTTATCACCAGAGAGGCTTTCGACTCCTCAAGGATCGTATTCGGTTTTCCAGTGCCTGGCAAATTGCCGACCGGAGGCGACGATGCCATCGGCACCTTTGGTTGCAAACGCGCAGGCGTTCTTAGACCCAGTATCTCAAATATTGACAGAATCAAGCAAGGTGCCCCTTTGCAAGTTCTGCGGCGGTAAAATGAATATCTGCGTGAGGGCAGGGCACTGGTTCAACGAGAAACCCTTTGAAGATGGAGAGAAGAGATGGAAGCAGTTCCGCCGGGACGTGGTGCATCGTGAGGAAAGGACGACAGTGATCCTAGAGCTTGGCGTAGGGATGTCAACGCCGGGGGTCTTGAGATGGCCCAACGAGGATCTCGTCATGAGAGGCGGGGGAAGAGTGAAGCTTGTGAGGGTGGGCAAGGGGCCTGAGACGGCCGTCCCATGGGATTTGGAGGCAGATGGGCTGGCGACAAGTATAGACGGCGAGATCTCAGCGGTGGTGAGCGAACTGCTCGCGGCACGAGCGTAGTTGAGATGGGCGTAGTCAAAGGATTGGTGCCTGCTTCTGAAAAAAACTTCGGTCGATGGAGTAGGGCGTCTCATGCCGAGCATCAGATATTAAGATGAAGGTAATCGATGAGAGTCTATTCCCGAAAAGGATTGACTCAGGAGCACCTCAAAGACGACAGGCTGAAGAATCTCAATTTCCAAATGTCAGAAACGTGCCTCACAAAATAGAAACCGTGGACCTGCATTTCCGCCACTTGTAGAGAATGCTAAACCACTCATGACGAGGGATATACGATGAGTACGATTCGTCCCTTGGGCGATGCATGAACTCTCGACTAACGACTTTGGGTGAAGACTTCGCCAAACACAAGCTTCATAGCTGGAGACATCCGAGAGGATCGGAGAGAGTTGCCCTCACAGGCTTTCTTCCGTGCTGTGGTGGTCATGACTAGCCCCTGCTATGCCTCTCTGCCCTACGTAAAGTATGTTCTTGGCATGTAATGCAACCTCGCGTAGTCCTGACCGTACCTTACGTAGTAGCCCTGCATCTTTACGCATCTTCTTGCCATCCCACAGGGACACAACGCTCTCATACCGCACCTGAGTAGTCGAGGCTCGGGGTAGGGCGGGTTTTGAGGTGTCTTGGCAGCTTGGCAGCGAAAATCAAACTCGCGTGCGGCGTCAGGGGCGCGTCAGGTCTCGTGCGCACAGCGGGCCTGGCGACTCGCACCAGGCCTTACTGTGGCTGAGGAATTCCCCCCTTTTACACTATGCGCTGTATTGCGATTGGTTTGCCAGATGATGATTGATCTACGCAAGCATCGCGGGCGCGGGAATGCAAATCATTGTGGTTCTATGAAAGAGGGAAATCATTGCGGCGAAGGCTTAGCTAGCGGGGGCCTGACGGGACAGCAGATCCACCACGGAAGACGGAATCGGCCGAGAGAGTGGGTCTGCCCAGCCGGTTCTCGGCTCCGAGCCGGGAGAGGCGAAGAATCCAAGAATTGAACAAGAGGCCTGAGCAAATGCCAGTGCTACTCAAGGCGGCAAAAAGCTCCGTCTTGACAAGCTTTACAGCCCACGACTAAACACAAGTAAAGAACAGTCTTGGAAGGCTCAATTGCCCGTGAGGCTGCCTGAAAGTGTGTCCATGTTCTACCTATCACATCTTGACATGACCCTTCTCGGTGTCTGCATCAGCCGGACCTCCCGAGTATTCATCCAAGTATGTGAGACTGGGACAGGACGGTGGGACCTACGCAGTAGAGTGTGCGCCTCATGGCATAGAGGCGACTCTTGCCCACAAACCAGAAGAGCAAACGGGCGTCTTCTGTGTGTCCCATGCTCCCCAATGCGATCATATCCTGGGAGGCAAGCCCCCAGTCCCAGTAGAGTCCCGATTTCGCCATCGTGTTTCTGACACAACTCTTTTTGCCAAGCTTATTTTTTCTCCGCGCTTCTATTCGAGCGGGGTGGACCATTTCCTGTTCCAGGTATGCTGCGGTGAAGCACGGGCAACACGAATCACAGCTGGCGACTCAGCCAGCCGCGCCCCCTTCTCCATGGGTCTCCATGGATTGGCTGAGGCTCTCGAGTCCTAGCTGCAGTGTGTGCTGTGTGTGTGGTACTGGCGATGGTCGTGTCTGCAGTATCTGCCAGATCCAAGCGCAACGGCCCCCCTGTATCAACTTGCCTCTCAGTTCCTTGTCAGGACGTCTAGAACTGCCATGCCTGCATCGGAGCAAAAGGCTACCGACACTCCCTGTCCAGGTCTCCCCCATAATGAAGCACACCTATTGCCCCTGGCCACCCCCGGATCTTTCAAAGTGCTCATGTGGACAGGACCACATTCAACCACCACGCCTGGCCCTGGAACTGATTTGCTCCGGGGTTGATGGGTGATCCACAGAAACGAGAAACGCCTGGCGGTGCAACGACAGTCCTAGAAACCACCGGCGGCTCATGCGATGTTCTCCTAGGGATCGTGCCCGACTGGCAGTAATGATTCACAATGATCAGCGAAACGATGCGCCCCTCATGCCTCCTTTGCCATGTCAACGGCGATCAAATCCCCCAGCCTCCTCCCGGGGCTGGAGGCCTTCATGCCTCCGTACCTCCGTACTCCGTGCTCCTGGCGGGCCACCTCCTTGTTTCCCCCTCCCACCACTGCAACCTATTCGGAGTGGTGCGAATGCTACTTTGTGTGGATACTTTGGGCAGCCGAGTCAAGTCTAAATCCAAAAAGACCAATGGGACTGGGCAGCGCGCCAAAGGCCAGAGACAAGCAAACGGGAGTGGTGAAGCTTGCCCTGGCGTACCTGGCACTAAGCGCTAGCTCCCGCGGTGCCCAGCTGAGGATTGATGCATGGCATCGCTGCGTCCTGCAGGGACTTCGCCTCTCTCAGCCCGTTGGTGATTTTCTATCCGACTCTGTCCCATTTCGGTATTCCATCCGTAAAACACCAATATGCAGAGGGTCGCATTGAGCACCGGTGTCAGAGACGATACTACGGGCATGGCTAAGCCCAATATGACATCTCAACTTCTCATCGTTTGCGTATCCACTATCGTCCGCTGTCCAAGTTCACACAGCAAGTTGCAACGGGGTGGGCTTTAGGGGCCTTTGTTCCAGAAGATTGAGATGATAGCCGTCAGAGATCTCTGCGTCTCTCTCCATTCTTTGGTTCCCAGTCGCTCACGATTACGCTCCCACTATGGACGAACGTTCTCTGTGGCCGAGCGCAGGTTCGAGACTTGAATTTGCGCCGCAGGGCAAGCATCACCTCTGTTGAGTCGCCCTTCCACAGACTCTCCGCACGGCCTCTCGTGTCTCGCCAACGTGCGGTACCAACCAAACCAAACCAACCCAACCAAGGGGGAGGGGGGAGGCAGAGACGGGTATGGTGTGTTTGATCTGGGCGATTCTCTCCCGTGCCCTGGATAATACGGGCGTGGCGCAGATCCTGGAACATCATCTTCCCTCCCAGGCACACCAGGGATGTGCGACAAACGTTTTCTGATCTGCGACAGTGTTTCTTCCCCTCCTTGCCCTCTTCGAGGAGGAGGGGGGACAACGC